TGATTCTTCACTTCCTCCCTTGGAGAAGAAGAGAGGGAATGTCCGGATGGTGTGTTTGCACATGGGGAAGGAAGGAGTATTTTGTCTCCTCCTTTTGTAATTCCCAATCCCCATCACTCTAATCTTCCATGATTTGCAAATTAAGCCAATATACATTTGCCAAAGCTAAAGTAGAAGGCATTTGGTTTTCTATATTCTTCTTGGCGTCTTCCTGATCACCAACCTCACCTCCTCTCCTCAGAGTTCCTTTCCCATCTCCCTAATCACCAAAAATCCAGACCTTAAAACAATAAACAATCCCCCTGAAAGGTACCTTCCTGGTGCTGTCTAAAACAAATGTAATCTTCTGTTTGGGCATTTAGAACACCACAAGCATTCTTACTTAGATTAAATCATGGGTCTCCCTGGTCTCCAGGCATGCCTAGACATGAACCATGAAGAGAATGAGATCCTTGGGGTTTCTCTAGTAACTGCAAGCCAGATCAACAGCAACCTTAAGAACAGCATTTTTTTTTTCCCCAAATAGAAGTAGGCCACACACATTTTTTTGTCCGGATTTAACTTTTTCTGTTGAGAGTTAACTTTTTTTGTTGTAGTACATACAAAAATAAACCGCATTTTAAGAAAATTATTTCAGTAGGCGCTGCATCTTCGTGACTTTTATATTTGAGTTTTCCTGACTTTTCCTTACCTTGGAAGAAAGTTTTTGAAAACTAATTGTCAAGGCATCTGATGCAACGAGGATGGCAGCAATCCAGCTGAGGTAAGAACTTTGAGATGCAAATAATAATCATAAAAGATCAATTGGGAAGAAGAACTAAATATTGTATTAGCTAAGAACAACTAACAATCTGAAAGAACAAAGTTGTTTTTATGCACTAACCAAGATTTATAAGTCTGCATATTGTTAATGGTATGGGGGGCTACTTCATTCCTGGTTTTATTTACACATGCATATTTAAATACCTGTGAATGATTTATGTAACACTGTTATCTGTGCCTTTCCCAAAGCTACACTGAATACAAGATCCAGTTAGCTGTAAATGACCCAACTTTTATACTTTAATTTTATAAATTAATTTTTATAATTAAAATTTTTGTACTGGGCATGTGATACTTCACTTTGGTTTACTTCTCTCCACTTTGGTATTTTCAGAACAAAATATGCACTTGGCAAAAAAGAAAAAAAAAGTGCTATTTTTCATATGGAAAGATAGCGCCATAACGGAAACCTCCTTGGAAACCTCCCACCTTCTTTGGGTGTTTTAAGAGCCAGAGTTTGGAATTTGTGTTGAATGATCCAGATTATCTGCCCCTATTTGCGTTACCAGTGGCATCTCTACGACCACTTGGTGGTTTTAGAGAATCCATCTTTGGCTGGAAAGTTTTCTTTCATGGAAAATTATTTAGAACTAAGCCTTCCTGGTCTATGATGAGTGCTCCCCACTGTGTCCGTGAAGACCACATTTTACTCGGACTTCCAGATGAGTTCCATAAAGGCAGGATAAGGAGAATGTTCCTATCTCTCCTGTTTCATTCACAAAGGAAAAGGAGTATGGGAAAGAATGCTTAGTGGAGAGTCCCAGCAACCCTCGGTCACTGTTCCCTTTGCTCAACCTACCCACAATGCACACGAACACACCTACATCATCAGACTGGAACCGTGACAATGGAAAAATGTAACTGTCACAAGTCACTGTTTTTCTGGCTTCCACAGGCCTCCCTCACCCTGAATATCCAAATTTACTCCTGCCTGCAGCATCTGCTCTAGCCTGACTTCTGTGAACCTTTCTGGGCCTACTTCTTATAGCTCTCATTGACCCTTCTCTCTGTAGAGTCTACTAAGTTTAGTAATTTAAGATACTCCCTCTTGAACGGTAAACATCATGTGTTTACTTCGTGTAACCACGTAGATTTTGTGGAAGGTGGAAGGAGAGAACTTAGGTGATTAACATACAGCCGGGTTTAACTATGTGCGGGAAGTAGAACTAATTTTGCCCAAGATGGACCTTGGGAGTACGAAACTGTGGCCTTGACCCAAGAGGACCGCCACACTTTGACCTCACAAGCTGACTAGCTCGCTATTTGACTGGAAGATCCAACCTGCACCTCATGTCATGGCCCTTGAGGAGTATGAGGGTGCAGATGGGCCCCTCCAAGGCAGTCCTCCTCCACATCAGAGACTACCCAGGCCCACCTCCATTTGAAAAACTCAAACCTACAATTTCAGGTACCTGAGAGCCTGTTTTCCCAGGGAGGAATGGGAATGAAAACTCGGTGGGTTTGTAGGTTTCTTGGGGAACTGGGAGGGGGATGATCTCTGTGCCCCTCCTGCTATCCCAGGAAGAGAAACTTCTCAATAATCTGTGCTTCTATCTGCTGGGCCTCTTCCCTGGAGGCCCCACGGGCCGCCCACAGCCCCTTCTCGCAGTTTCCTCCCCTCCCCCCGCTGCCCCTCCCCCACCGTCCCGTCTCGCGCGCGCCCCGCCCCCTCGGCCCGCGGGGTTCCAAGGGCGGTTGGGCAGCCACGGCCACGGTCATTCGGCCACTCGGAGCGGCGGGGCGCACGGGGTTGGCAGAGCCGCCTCTAGGATTTGGGCCGAGAACTGAAGAGAAGTTTTCTGAGGCGGGTCGGGCGAGAAGAGGGAAGTGGGAGCCGGGTCCGGGAAGGGAATCTGACTTGGGGGCCCCGCGAGGTGCGGGCGCCTGCGGGGAAAGGGGAGGCTCCGAGCTCCCGGGGGTCACCTGGAGTCGGGGGGCGCGGCGCATCCACTTAGGGCGCCCCGTGGGTCCGGAGGTGTCCTCGGGAGCCCCTGGCCTTGGCCTCGCGCCCAGCCACTGTCGGGCGTCGCCCCAGGAAAAATGGGGACCGAGGTGGGCCCCGACCCCGCGGCCCGCCCTCTCGGGCACACGGAGGGGGCGCTGCGGACCGTCGGGGAGCTGCAGCCGCGGGCGCCCGGTGCTCGGTTTGTAGGCAGTGTAATTAGCTGATTGTACTGTGCTGCTTACAATCACTAACTCCACTGCCATCAAAACAAGACACAGCGTCACCCCCGCGCGGCCGGGAGGACACGCCGCTCCGGCGCCCGCAGCCTCGGAGCGGAGAAGCCGGCGCTTGACTCCGCGAGCTCCTTGTCAAAGTGCCAGTAAACCCTCGGAAACTTGCCGTAGGTAGAGTTAAATCGTTAGCTATCTCAAGGAGCAAAAGTTGGAACAATCTCATGCCAGGAAAGCGAAATCCCTGAAGTTCAGTGGCATTAAGATAAAGACATGTCAAGTGCTTGCAGGAAATCCCCTTGTAACGGTTAATTCTGTATGCTGCGATTCACTTTGCCTATTTTTTCATTATTTAGTGGCGTGTTCACCAAGCCAGCAACTAAAGCGAGCTACAACTTAACCGATGATTGGCCTGTCACCACGTGAGGGGGCACCAGCTTGAGACTGCAGTTTTCTGTTGAGTCTAGTTACTAGGCAGTGTAGTTAGCTGATTGCTAATAGTACCAATCACTAACCACACGGCCAGGTAAAAAGATTTGGGAATCCATCCAGATGAGCTGCCTGTGTATCATCAATGTGTGTAGGGGAGAGGGCTATTGGATATTGGGAAAAACTGATGTCACCCATTGCCTGTTTATCAAGTTCTCAGCCAACAGAAACATGAACATTTTAGAGACCATAGGCCCTGTAATATGTATGTATGTATCAGGAAAAGATGGGTTTATCTTTCAATATTCCTTCAGGCTTTTAACAAAAAAATAGGTATATTGGAGAGTAAGTATTTTTCCTTAGCTAATTGATCTATGTTATGTGTACTTGTTATCAACTTCTGAACTGTGAACTATATTGTTAGTAATATTTTGAAAGAATAAAGTGCCATACAAACATAGATTGTACTTACCACCCTGTGTCCATTCCTATCCTAAATTAGCTTCATGCTGTCCATCTCAGTTCAGTTCCTGCCAACCATAATTACAACTTTTCTGTTGCTGAAATGGTTAAATTGTTACTACCGTGTTTCCCTGAAAATAAGACACTGTCTTATATTTATTTTTGCTCAAGAGACACACTAGAGCTTATTTTCAGGGGATGTCTTACCCTCCATGCTGAAATGATGGGCGTGGCTATGCAGATACGCTGCATAGCCACGCCCATCATTAGGTCTTATTATAGGGGTAGGGCTTATATTTAACAAATGAATAGAAATCCTGCTAGGGCTTATTTTTTGGTTAAGTCTTATTTTGGGGGAAACACAGTACATTAACTAAATCTCCCAGGAAAGCTTAATACACTTAATATAAGAATAACACACACTTAATATTATAAGAATCCATTAGCAAAATTTTTCATAATTTATTTTTCACAAAGGGACCTGATTGTCTCATTATAGATACATCCCTTCTTTTAGTAGTAATCATTTATAACTATTGCACTCTGGGCAGCTTTTAATCGAAATGATTTTTAAATACAGTTACAATTTAAATCTAGCTTGTTTCCTAGGATTTGTCGTAAAGGATTGGGGCGGTGTGAGGGGGACATCACTAAAACTATTTATTAGGTACCCACTGGCCCAGTTCAGGCCACTCACTCTCCCGGGCTGGGGTAGGTTTTCTATCTCAGGTCTCTGTACTTTAAAGCGGATGCTGTGCGTCTTGAGATCAGGTCTGGGAGAGGGGATTGGGACGATGGGACTAAGGAATTTAAAGTTTATTTAGATATCTTCGGGTGGGGGAGACTGACTAGGTAGGGGCTGAAGTACTACCCACTGCCTCTACAGGACAAGACGCAGCCCGTCTGGACTCCAAGGCTCGGACTGGTCCGGAAGCCTGTGATCGCGGCGGAGGCGGGCTTCAGATGACCCACAAGCGCGCACCGGACCCCAACACCTACCGAGGAAACTGAGGGCTTCAGGCGGTGGCTGTGGCTGTTACCGACTTGGCGGTTCTCCAAAGGGCGGGGTTGGGGGAGGGGCGAGGGAGCTGGCAGAAGCGTCCTGGGTTGTCATGGAAACGGGACCCAAGGGAGGTCCTGGCGGCCGAAAGGACTGTCAGGAAATCTGCTCCCCGGGACTACTGGTCTTCGCCGGCTCCTCGGAACAGGACGCCAACTTGGCGAAGCAGTTCTGGATATCGGCGTCGATGTACCCCCCTAATGAATCTCAGCTGGTGCTGCGCCGGGGGAGCAGCCAGCGGCTGCCGGTGGCCCGGCCCTCCAGGTGCAGCGTGCCTGGTAAGTAGCTGTGGCCGCCAGGACCCCCCGGGAGGATGCCTGATCCCCTTTTCAGAAGAAACTGTCCAACCGAACTCTAAAATAAGAATCTCATTTCAAATGTCTGAATGGCATACACAAATATAGAGAGAATATCTGTAGTTCCTGGACCTCCCCAATAGTCCTGTCACCCCAAAAGAATCAGTGGTACATTTGTTACATCTAGAAATACATTTTAAGCGTCTTACAACTATGGTATCCATTTGGTAAACAGTATAGAATAATCAGAGGAGGTGTTAGGTTTTGGCTGAAAGGATATTAAAGAATAATAATTTATACAACTGAATTCAAACAGTGAAGCCCTAGAGAAAGCTGAGGTCAAAGTTAACAGTAGGAACCAAGTTCTCCGACCCGGAAGCCTTTACTGAGGCCTCGGACGGGAAACTCTCGCCGGGCAGCTTTTGTAGGTACACAAAATTCAAATGCCTTTAATGTTGTACTATTTCCAATCAGTTCTTTACTTTCCTTTCATATTTTTTAGACAAAAGTCACTCCCAGTCTTTTCAACTCGAGAATGACAGTAAGTACCGAGTTTTATGCCTTTCTTCATCCTGACTCCTAGGTTATTCAAAAAATAGGTAGTAAATATGGGGGTACAACTTCACACGTTGGCATAACTTTCTGAATTGCATACCTAAGACCTTGCTTCAGGGACCATCCTATTTATCCAGAATAAAATGCCTAAATTCCTATAAGAGGTTAAATAGGAAGATGGAAATTGGAATCTCTGCTATGTTCCCTTTAGAGACCTGTTCTTATCCCTGGACTCAGGCTTCGGCATCTAAAGAGAGCAGAGGTTTCCTGCAGCCATACCTAATTAATTCAGTCTCCATTATTTTTGAATCTGGTTTATAAAGTTTCACGCCACAGCATGTATATTTGTCTTTACCTCCCTACCCTATGTATTACCTTTTAACCCTTATCCTATTTTACACCAATGTTGTTGTAAAATCATGACAAATTATTTCAGATGGAATTTGACTTTATTCCCTTTAGACCTCGCTATGGAAGCCCTAAAGATTCAGGAATCTAAGGAGAAAGCAAAGTATCTTCAAAAGGTAGGCCACTGTTTCAGAAGGTGCTCTGATTCTCATGACATTTCCAAGTAATCCTGATTTTTTGTAACACATGTATATAAAAATCTGCTATTTCTAGTGTGTCAGCGTGAGCAAATTAGAAAAACCTCTTAAGACTTTAATTGAAGATTAAGGAATAAATTTTGACTATTCTCAATCTCAGCAAAAGCCCAAAGAGGTATAGGAACAACAACAACAAAAAAAAAAAAATAGAGAAATAGAGAAAAGCAGATTCACACATTTTTCCATACAGTAAGGCCTCAAACCATATATGGTGTTCTAAGAACAGAAATATTGTAAGAACAGAAAAAAATAAACAATTGATTGTCTTGGTAGGTCAAAATTAAGTGATCAGATGAATGAGTCAGTCATCTAGACCCACTCTGACTAAAGGCTAAAATCAAACACAATAATGTGGCCAAACCAACTGAACAGACATCTCTTTTTGGCAACGTCCATGGTTTGCTTATGATGAGAGTGGCACAGCCTTTAACTCAGCAATTAATACAGTGATTTATGGAGACAATTTGTTTGGCTAATGGATAAATTCTATTCCTATAACTGTTCCTATACCATAAAAGCAAAGATAAAGGATTCATTTTGGCCTAATGTCTTTAATCATTAGACATGTTGGCAAACTCTGAAAGGCTTATCAGGAATTCTACATAAATTACAGAACATTGTGGCCTGTAGGTGATTCCTTCAAACAAATTAGGTGATCAGAAATAATTACTCACCCTTTCCTTCTTCTCAAAAAAAAAAAAAGAAAGAAAAGAAAGAATTATGGATATTATGTACCATATTTTTATGCATGGACTTTATAGGGGGGAATTAAAAATCATTGCAGGGAATTAAAAATCATTGTAAGTCAACTTCATTGGTACTTTTGTTGTTTAATTTTCCTTTTATTTCATTTTAAGAAGGGATTAAAAATAAAAGTTAGGCTAAAAGCAAACTAATATCAATTTTTATCAGCTTTTATAAAACAGACAATAATGGATTGTTAAACTAATAATTTTGCAATTAGTTTCCTTGCCTTGGGTCCTTCCATTAGTTTATTAATTGCTCAATTAATTCCAGACATGTATTAAGAACCTGCTGTGTGAAAATACTATACTAGATGCTGGGGATACAAAGATAAAATGTGGTCTCTGATCTCAAGGAGTTGACAATCTGGAGGAAGAAATAGCCAATTAAGGTCAACAGTTATACTACAGAGGTCAAGCCTAGTAGCCCATGCCTGTAATCCTAGCACTCTGGGACACTAAGGTGGGAGGATTGCTTGAGGCTAGGAGTTTGAGACCAACCAGAGCAAGATTGAGACCTCATCTCTCCAAAAAAAGAAGTTAGGTTTACAAGTATGCACTTGGGAGGCCTACGCAGGTGGATTGCCTAAGCTAACGAGTTCAAGACCAGCCCAAGTCAGAGCAAGAACCCATCTCTAAAAAAATAGCCAGGTGTCGTGGCAGGTTCCTATAGTCCTAGCTACTTGGGAGAATGAGGCAAGAGGATCACTTGAGCCCAAGAGTTTGAGGTGCTGTGAGCTAAGACACCATGGTACTCTAACAAGGGTGACCAAGTGAGACTGTCTCAAAACAAACCAAACAAACAAAAACAAAACTAGAAAAGTTAGCCATAGTGGCACATGCCTATAGTCCCAGCTTCTTGAGAGGCTAAGGCAGGAGGATCACCTAAGCCCAAGAGTTTGAGGTTGCAACAGGCTATAATGTGGCCACTGCACTCCAGTCTGGGTGACAGAATGAGATCCTGTCTTCAAACAAATAATAATTCTTATTATAATTAGGGTATATTATTATGACTGATGTATAATGCTATGAGAACACACTGAAGGACATCAAAATCAAGACACTTCCCCAAGGTGTCAAGTTTTGATGGATGGAGTTTTTCAGGCAGAGACTATGCAAAGCAGTCCCTCCTGTGCACAAGTCGTCTTCTTAAAATCCAAATATAGGGTGTTCAGCACACCCCCTGGGTGAAGGGCTCTTCTACCACTTGAACTTTAACCTTGGAAGTGAGAACAATGTAACCTAAAAATTTGTACCCTCATGTTAATCTGAAATTTAAAAATCCAAATATGCTCGTGCTGCTCTCCTACTTTTGTTTTCTTCTCCTCCCGTGGCTGCCTGTTTTCTGCAAGATCTGCTGAAACTCAGCACGTTCAAATTCCTTTCCAGCTGACCATAACCTGACTTCTGCCACTCTCCTCCTTCCGCTGTGCTCCCCATCACTTGGTGGCCAAGAAAATATATGCCACCAAAACAATGACTTCAACATGCACAGTATCAGCCAAATAGTACCTTAAGCCACGTGGGTCCTGCAATGCTGTATGGTGGATAATGCTATTTGTTTTTTGATTTTTTGAGACAGAGTCTCACTCTTTTGCCCCAGGATAGAACCTCAAACTCCTGGGCTCAAGTGATCCTCTTGCTTCAACCTCCCCTGTAGCTGGGACTACAGGAGCCCAAAACACACCCAGCCAGTTTTTCTATTTTTAGTAGAGATGAGGTCTCAATCTTGCTCGGGCTGGTCTGGAACTCCTGAGCTCAAGCAGTCCACCTACCTCGGCCTCCCAGAGTGCTGGGATTACAGGCATGAGGCCACCATGCCCGGCCAATGATGCTGTTTGTTGAGAGTAGAAGATAAGGGGCTCAACGAAACAGTGAGCTTGTAGGAAAGAAAATGTTACTGAAATGGCGCCTTCAGAATGTATAGGAAAACTTGTTACTGTACAGCACAGTTCTATTCAAACAATGCCAAGGTGCCCAGGGGCAACCGAGAGAATCCTGCAATAATTGAATGTTGTCATATCCTAACATATTACAATGCAGTATTCATAACAACCAACTTACTGAGTGCCTATTATGTAGGAAACACTAAGCTGAACTCATATTCTCCTTCAAATAGCCCATGATGATTACCACTTTACTAAACTCAGACTAAATGATTTTCCAAAGTTCCCACAACTCGTATGGGGCAGAGCCTTGATATCCAGACTCAAAGCCCAGTACCCTAACTCCAAAGCCATAAAACTAACTCCCTAAGAGACTTGTTGCCTTGTAATGATTGCTGACCAGAACATTGTTCAGAAATGTTGCCACATATTCTAAAAGTCAAAACTAGGATATCAATACGATTATGACATACATTTAGTCCAGCCCTGGGACCATCAGCTGTTTCCTCAACCAGCTAACATCCTCTTCCCATTCACCTTCAAGGCTAGCTCAAGTGCCAGCTTCTGCGAAGCCTTCCCAGAGGTTACAGAGACAAACAGAATGAATAGCTCCCTTCCCGGTGTTCTCATGTGGGTCCCCATCCTCTCTTATTGCAATTTTTATAGTCTCTGATCTGTATTGTTGGCAACTGTGCATGTTTCTGGCTAGATGACAGCTCCCATAGTATAGTGGACTTTGGAGACAAGATGGATTTGGAAGCCTAACTCTGCCACTTCCTATTTATGGGGCTTTGAGCAGCCTGTTTAACCCCTGTGATGTTAGCTCCCTCATACAGAAAAGGAGAAATGACACACACACAAAATCCATCTCACAGCGTTGACATAAAGTACGTATCGTGCCTGGTCCAGTTCACATAGTTTACCCTCCACAAATGCCCCCTGTGAGACCAGAGGTCATGTCTTATTTGCTTAACCCGGTGCCTTTCTGGTTATTTAAACTCAGTAAATATTTGTTGATTGAATAACTGAATGCATTATGGAAGTAATGAGTGAATGGGATGCTCTACGTAGCCGTATTTCAATTTTGTTTGGGCTTTTCCATGTAGATTCATTTAACAAACTTTTCTAGGCAGGTAATTTTTGCAAGAATACTCCCCAAATCTGACCTGTTAGCCCATCCCCTCTCTTCTCAGTTTGGCTTTTAGCGAATGGCTCTGGCTATAATTGGAGGAAATGGGACTCCATGTAACTTTTGAAACAGAATCTATTTTTGGAGACCACTATTTTTCTAGGTCTATAGGACTCTCTCTGCATTGCCATTCTAGAATTTTTAGCTTAATGGTAGAAAATAAATGAAGAAAGGGGAAGGTAGCCTTTTAACTAGTAAAATATATGCAATAATCTATTTAAGAGAACCTTTTGCATGTCTTATACATATACATTGATAAGTAAATTCGAGGTATAATTTTCATCTTAAAATGAGAAAAATAATTGCCTATAAATCTCTTTAATGTTTATTCATCTACTTCCTCCTTAAAATTAATGAAAATCTAAAACTTTATCTTCTATCTTTCCCAAAAGTGTCTTTATTGCCCTCTCTCCTCAACGAATATTGATTTTTTCAGTTGTTAAAGTCCCTTAAAACTTTATTCTCCCTGTTAGAATACTTTCTAGGTATACATTATAATAAATGCTTTTGGTTAGTGGACAAAATGCTATTAATCACAACTACTACTTCTGTGATGGATATCTATGGCAGGAAATCAAAACCAGTTGAGTCTGTAAGATTAGACGGCTTACTATGTCCATAAAGGAAATCTTACAGCACTATGCTGGACCATTATTCTTCCTGTGAGAGTTCTAACGGAGTCTGCAGACATTATAATAAATGAATAGTCAGCTAATTCTTTGCAATCATAAAACTAATTTCCTTTTTAGTTTTGCCACCTTTAAGAAAGCTCTTTAGCTGACTATCTCCTTACCAAAAGAATTATAAATAATTCATTTGCTGGGAAAAAGAAAAAGAAGTCAGAGGGGTAGTTTTGTTGTTGTTGTTTTTTTTTTTTTAAAGAAATGGGATCTTGGTATGTTGCCTAGGCCCACTTGAACTCCTAGTCTCAAGTGATCCTCCTGCCTTAGCCTCCTGAGTAGCTAGGACTATAGGCAGTGCCACCGCCCCCAGCTAGAGCTATACTTTAAGGCAATCATATACATGGCATACTACATATTTGGAAATGTCCATCTGGAATTAGTTTTTGTTTTTGTTTTTGTTTTTTCCTGCAGTTTTGGCCAGGGCCAGGCTTAAACCCACCACCCCCAGTATATGGGGCCAGCACCCTACTCCTTGAGCCACAGGCACTGCCCTGGAATTAAAGTTTTAATGAGAATGATTATAAACCAAAAGTTTTTCCAAGAAAATATATAATCTGTAGAACAACATCTTAGCTATATTCTTTGTTGGGAATGGGGTTTTAAAGTGTTCTATTATACTTCTTATAAACAAAACTAACCATAGTATAAATCTTCCTCAAAAGTTTGTTATGATGGCACTTGAACCAGGAGCAAGTCCTGCTCTAAAGAGGCTATTACAGTCATCCCACTTATCTGTGGTTTCACTTTTCAAGATGTCAGTTACCTGAGGTCAACCATGGTCCAAGAATACTAAATGGAAAATTTCAGAAGCAAACAATTGGTCAGTTTTAAATTGCACGCCACTCTGAGCAGCGAGATGAAGTCTCTGGCCATCCCACTTTGTCCTGCCGGGGTAGTGAATCATCCCTTTGTCCCCATAGCCACTGTTAGTCACTGAGTAGCCAAGAGAGAGACCACAGTCACATAATTTTTTATCATAGTGTTATAATTATTCTATTATTTGTTATTGTTGTTAATCTCTTACTGTACCTCATTTAGAAATTAAACTTGATTATAGGTATGTATTACAGAAAAAAACACAGGGTTCAGTAGTATTTGTGGTTCAGGCATCCACGGGGGTTCTTGGAGCCCTGGATGAAGAGGAAATACTATGTTCTTAGAAGAAGAATTTTAGAAGCTTCACAAAGGTGTATTTTTAGACACTAAATCATGAGAGTGGGAAACTTTTTAACATTGTTAGCCGTTATCCTACACTTTCAATGTAGAGAAAGGGATAGTCTGAATCACGCTAAGTCAGCTTCAGAGAGCCAAAGCAGAGATGTAGGGGATTTCCTCTGTCATTGCCACGGAGCTCAGAGAAAAGCAAACCCTCTTTTGTGTCAAAATGATAGGGCTTGACTTCCTAGACAAACTTAAATTTTCCCAGTAACAGAATTACCCAGCTTTTAGATAGGGCTTGTTGTTTGTGGGTTGGTTAGTTTTTTGTTTTTTGTTTAGTTTTGTTTCGTTTGAGTCAGAGTCTTCCTCTGTCTCCCAAGCTAGAGTGCAGGGGCATCATCATAGCTCACTGCAACCTTAATTTCTAGGCTCCAGGCATCCTCCTGCCTCAGCTTCCCAAGCAGCTGGGACTATAGGCACATGCCATCATGCCTGGCTTATTTTTCTATCGTTTTGTAGAGACTGGGTCTTGCTCTTGCTCAGACTAGTCTCACTTCCCAAGTCCCAGCTTCCCAAGTAGCTGGGACAACAGGCACATGCCATCATGCCTGGCTTATTGTTCTAGTGTTTTGTAGAGACTGGGTCTTGCTCTTGCTCAGGCTAGTCTCAAACTCCCGGCAATAAGCGATCTTCCCACCTCAGCCTTCCGAAGTGCTAGGATTACAGACGGGAGCCACTGTGCCCAGCCCTGGCTTTCAGTTTTACTATCACACTCTAACGTAGTACGTAGACCCTCCATAGCTGACCACTTCCCTACACTGACCACCTCTTTGAGCTGACCCATTTCTCATAGGCTGGACATGCACTTATCAGAACAATAGGACTAGTTCCTTATGTTGACCACCTCCAAATGATGACCAGTTGGTTACAGCCCCTCGGGTGGTCAACTTAACAGAGGTTCTATTGAATTTACAAAACTTCAGGGTGGCTCCTGTGGGTCAGTGAGTAGGGTGCCGGCCCCACATACTGAGGGTGGCAGGTTCGAACCTGGCCCCAGCCAAACTGCAGCAAAAAAACGAAGAAAAAAAGAAAAAGAATTTACAAAATTTCTTTTTCTTCATGAAACAAATACCAATAGGAAATGATGGATTTTCCCTTCAACAAAAGATACTCTATTACTCATATTTAAATTCTTTGTTCCTGAATTTATCAAAGCATTCAAGTGGAAGAGTCATAAAACCAGACTGTGTTTATAGTAACAAGAAAATAGTTTGGTAGCAAGTGCTAATTCTAAAGACCATCTAATAAATATGGTTTATTCTTTCGTATCATCTGTAGTACCACTTTGTTTTTAAAAAGTGTTCAATTTTCAGGAACATTTTTAATTGATAGGTGAGTTTGCCCATAAATCTTCTTTAGTGAAATCCCCAGTCCATGGAAACATACGAGAGAGGCATGAGCAACAAGATCAAATACCAAAGGCATTTGCCCCATACAGACCCAGCCCCAGAGTTAAACAGGACTGTGTCTCAAAGGCATCTCTGCCTCTTTTTTCCAAAGATCTATATACACTTTACCTTCTATACACGTCACCTTAAGACAAAATAAAAACATTTTAAGCCATCAGATACTATTGGGCGTGGATCTACACATGTTATCTACTTATAAAACGTAACTAAATAAAACTAGTAGTCATGAAATGAAGCAAAAATGATCATGTGCTTTTTAAAATAAATGCAGAACTCTCAGTTTGGTTCAAGTTACAGGAAGCCTTACTTTTCAAGTTAGTTAAGCACCTTCCAAGCAGTAAGGCAAATCATTTATTGAAGAACTGGATTTAGTCTGTGGATCAGGTAACTCAGAGAATCATCATGACACGCCTAAATTAAAACCATAATCTACGTTTATCCTTTGCCTCTAGTACAGGCAAAATGAACAGGTCCTTACCCCGATTATGTTAGAGCTAGATCATAAGGCTAAATGATTTATGTATCTCTATTTATTTCATCACTGTATCATTTTCTGTGATAAGTATTTGATACCGTATTTATATATTGGGTACAGTCGTTTGCCCACTGGAATTTTACAGTTCCCAAACCACTGTGTTGGTAATACAGTAGACTCTCATTCATCATGGATTCCTGATTTCCAAATTTGCCTACTAGCCTCAATTTATTCGTAGCACCCAAATCAGTACTTGAGGCACTTCTGTGGTCCTTTTTACTACAAAGTGGTAAAAAAAATTGAGGTGCTCAGCCCACACAACCCCAGCTGAGATCAAACAAAGTAATGTTCTGCCTCCCTTTTTAAGTTCTCATACTATAAATAAGTGTCTTGCTGCTATTTAGTGCCATGTTTTTCTTTCTTTGTGTGTGTGTGTGTGTGTGTGTGTGTGATTTTTCTGTTTAAAATGCTTCCGTATGTTGAAGCATACTGCCTGCTGTACCTAAATGCAAGAAATATTCACTATCTGCACTAGATAAGCTTCTTCTAGGTCATGAGTTCAATACTGAGAAATCAACAGCATTTTTAAATAAGGTTTTTTTAAACAAAACCACACAGAAACAAGGTTATACATTGTTCCATTAATGAAATATTATGAGCAGAGGCTGAGGCTAACAGGAACCTAGGAGCAAGGGTTTAATAATCACGACCTCCGTGTTGGCTCTAACTTGATCTAGAGTATAAGCACAATAAAAAAATGAGAATTGACTGTACTCCTAAAATTAGTGGAATCACAGTTTAATATACAAAGTCTTTCCCTATCTGCCTCCAGCCACACCTCCCCAGGGTCAGCTACCACCATCCCCCTATAAATCCAATTCATACTTTAGCCATTTTGAACCACTTGTTGTTCCAAGAACCATCAAAGTGTTTCATTGCGTGGCACTGAATCAAAGTTTCTGCCTGGAAATGCCTTTCTCCCATTCCTTCCTTTAGTTCACACCTACTTGTACTTGAGAGCAGGTCACTGGGGTCACATTCAAGTCTTTTCTCACCCTCACTTGTTCCCCACTCTGACATATGTGCCCCTGTCTTTATTCCCATAGGACCCTGTGCTCCAGGACATTGTCCCTGAAATAAAGTTTTGTGTTGTAGGTGATGTATTTCTCCTGCAGGTTCTAAGTTCCTTAAGGAGAAGGACCAGGGCTTTTTGACTTTATAAACCACAGGGCCTGCATGATAGTCTAGTTCATTGAGCTGGATGTCACATGAGGTACTCATTTCATAGGAGGGCAGGCCAGAATAGTGTTACCCAAGACCCACCGGCCTCACAGGATCACAGACATGTCGTGAGGTGAGTAAGAGGATGCGGGAGGAACAGACACAAGTGGGACACGGTAGTGTGCAGGTCACAGAAGAAAGTCCCCATAGATGAACAGAGCAGTGTAGGTATGTTCTCTGGAAGAAGTGATCCCAGAAAAACATTGACAGATGTCTACAAACAGGGTGCCGAGGTTAACAGCATTTAAGATAAACCTTGCCATGGGAATTGGACTGTAGGGCCAGGAGTAGAGAATAACACCGGACCAGAGCATCTGGAATGCCGGACAAGGGATTGAAATCGGAATTGGACACAGGAGACACGATGACATTCCATACAGTAGAACATCAGTGCAAAAGAGAGGCTTATCCAGAAAAATTACAAAGTGATGAAAGCAAAATCCCAGAGGCATATACACTTTCCCCAAATCCAAGCACATTGTTAAACATTTGAGCCATTCCTGACTGCCAGCCCCAGAAAACTAGTTTAGAACCATCAATCTATGAGATGAGTACATTGACCTAACTACGATTATTTTTACTTTTTTGGCTATTATTGATAGAAACTCTGTTAAATAACTTTTTAAGGAAAATGTGGATATTTTCATTGAAAAGAAATTTAATAACTTATTAGAAAAAACTTAGAAGTTCATTAGGATAGACTCTAAACTTTGAAAGTTTTAATATAAGGATAAATTTTTAGAGGACTGAATAACTAAAAACAGAAGAAAAAAAGTTTTTAACCTTGGTTACAATGTTTTCTGAACTATCTTTGGATTATCTGAGGTTTCTAACCATAAAGATTGTCAACAGATGAAACAGACCCCTGTGTAGGTTATAGGCATGGGTCTGTATGTACTAGATTGGATTGGACATTGTCTAGGTTTCACTCAGGACACATGAGGCCCTGCACTGCTGGGGCCAAGCAAACCTCATAGAATGTTGGTCAGAAGCAACTCTGTAGGCTTAAAAAGAGATCTTAGACAAGTTAATGGTCAAAGCTGAAAAGTCAATGTCAAGCTCAAGCCAGAAGGTCCAAGCAAGTCCTTCAATAGTAAGATGAATCATAGGCTGAAAGTTAGGAGAATTTGCTTTGGATGAATTGTGCAACAGTCATTCAACAAATACTATTGAGCACGACTATGTGCCTGGCACTGTGCTCAATAATAATATTAATAAACAACAACAAAAAATACATTTTAAAGATAAAAATGGCTGGGTGCAGTGGCTCACACCTATAATCCTGGCACTCTGGAAGGCTGATGGGGGAAGATTGCTTGACATGAGGAGCTCAAGACCAGCCTGAGCAAGAACAAGGCTCCATCTCTACTAAAATTAGAAAAACTAGCCAGGTGTTGTGGCAGGTACCTATAATCCCAGCTACTCAGGAGGCTGAGGCAGGAGGATCACTTGAACCCAGCAGTTTGAGGTTTCTGGGTGGAGGCTGATGCCACAGCACTCCAACCTGGGCAACACAGTGAGACTCTGTCTAAATAAATAAAAACTCTGCACTTAGATGAAACTTAACAGTGTATAATCAGGGAGAGAAATATTCATGAAAGAATTACAGGTGATCTTAGGAGAACATTTAATAGGGTAGTAGTCTTCCAACCAAGAGAATCAGGGAGGATTTCTGTAAAGACAGACTAGGCTGGATTTGGAGGAAGAGAGGCATTAACTAGGCTGGAAGGAGGGAGTGGGGAGCATCGGGAGAGCATCCAAGCAGCAGAACAGCTGGTGCAAAGCCCTGTGCTGGGAAGAGGCGCAGCGCCCTGCAGAAGCCAAAGGGCCAGTGGGGCTGAGGACAATTAGGCCACAGTAAGAACGATGAGACGCCACTGAGAGGTTTGAAATTTGGGCATTATGATATCAGATTTGCTGGAAGAAGATCAAGAAACTATAATATGGAAAATAGATTGGGAGCCTAGAGCAAAGTGGGAAAATGAGACTGGAAGCCATTGCAAAACTTCCATGTGGAGCTGACGTGACGTGGACGCAGATGGCGTGGGTGGGGTGGGAAAGGCTACATAGATTTGAGAGATATGCAGGAAGTAAAACCCTCAGGTTGTATACTGGGTAGGGAAGGTGGGGCACAGCAGAGGATGTGTTTTCTGGCTGGCGTAACAGGAGGGACGGTGTCATTCTCT